TGTCCAGCTCCCTCATTTTGCTGGTTTCGGGACTGCCTCTTTGCCTCGGCTTGCTGGACAAGTGTCTCTTCGAATTGGGAGAGGCCGTGATGCAGCGCCTGCCTCCAGGCTGAACGCTGAAATGTCAAGGTTTCCCATCTGTTGAGGTCCATTCCTAAGGCCTTCAGATCCCGCTTGCAGATGTCCTTGTATCGCAGTTATGGTCTTCCTCTGGGGTGATTTCCCTGCACTAATTCTCCATACAGGAGATCTTTTTGAATCCATCAGCTATTCTCACAACATGCCTAAGCCAACGTAGACGTCGCTGTTTCAGTACTGTATACATGCTAAAAATTCATTACAGTGACTCCGTTTATAATGCACACATTTAAATTCAAATATAGCAGTTATAAAGTGAGAGTTAGGGCACATGAACACTTAAAACCAAGATTTCACACTCTGAATCCTGACAACCTCAGCTAATGACATAGTAAATCTGTAGAAAGTCTTAGAGAATATGTGAGTAGATGCATAGGATCACATTCTTAAAACTTATTGGTGGTCTCAAAGCACTGTTTTGAATGGGATTAGTGGTTTATTCAGTAATTCATTAATTTGGCTTGAAACACATATGACAGACAGGTAAGCAATTTTTTAATATTATATTTAACTTAGAAGACAGAATTAGAAGTTGTATTTTCTGTTACTTTCAGGTATTGATATGATCAGCAAAATGCTGAAGATGCAAATGTTAGAAGATGAGGATGATTTAGCCTATGCAGAGACCGAGAAGAAGGCACGAACAGATTCTACTTCAGATGGCCGCCCAGCATGGATGCGTACGCTGCACACTACAGCTTCCAACTGGCTTCACCTCATTCCGCAGACCCTAAATCATCTGAAACGAACAGTGGAAAATATTAAGGTGAGAAATACTGGTCAATAAGATAATTTGAGGGGCAGAAATTGTGGAATTCTGTATTTTAAAACTGCTACCTAACTTCCTTGCTTAACATCACTGGGAGTGAATTTCACAGAGCGACATGAACTGATTTTTTAGTGTGATAACACTAAACTTGCCTCTCCCAAGGATTGTCATGATCAGCCAGGTGCATAACGAGTAAGTCAGTCCCTAGGGTAGCCTAGTTCCATGTTGTTTAGGGCTTTACATACTAACAGCAATACTTTAAGCTTGGCATAGTATATTGGCAGTCAGTGCAAGTCCTGTAGCAAAGGTCCAAAGGCTGGCACAAGGATGCTTCAGTCAGCGGTCTCTTTCCCCCTTTTTTTTACCCCCTTGAGGTTCCCACCAGCCTTAAGATAGGGAAGTCCTGTGTACAGAGCATGGCAACAGTCTATTCTTCATATTACTAGTGGGCTGACTACTATGTAGCAAAGTTATCCCAGTGATAGAAAGATAAGCATAATCCTGGGAAGAATCAATCATGGATATATCTGTCTTCACTTTTGGATACTCCAATTTGCCATGTTTCTTTCACCAACCTGAAATGTGCTTTTCTTTGAAACCAAGGATCCATTGTTCAGATTCTTTGAGAGGGAAGTGAAGATGGGAGCAAAACTCCTTCAGGATGTTCGTCAAGATCTTGCAGATGTAGTTCAGGTCTGTGAGGGAAAGAAGAAACAGACCAATTATCTGCGGACACTTATTAATGAATTGGTGAAAGGTAAGATATTTCAGATTTAGTGATAATGTATATTGAGGTTTGCTAGTGAAGCAGTTAAAAAGCTGGTTCTGGTTATAGAAAATGGAGGGTCTAATGAGAGTAGATTCTTGGGTGGTGCTCAGAGGGGGTGCTTAAGTTGTGTCACAAATAATAAATGTAATTGAGTATTTTATAAGATTCCATGCCATGTAAGAACTAACTTATAATCTATAGAGTCTTCAGTGGCTGATCTTATTTAATTTTGTATCTCCCCATTTTATGTAATTCTGAAAGCATTCAATCTAAAACATGAATGTTGAAAAAGTAACATACAAATCTCCATGATGCCCTTTTCAAAAAACACAAAGTGTGTCGCCTTAAAGTTTAAAAAAGGGGGTGGCTGTCAGTGATAGAGACACCCTCCTGCTGAAATGATGTAGCGTCTGACATACAGAAGTCGGGAACATTTTATAATTTCTGTCCTAGGTATCCTGCCTCGGAGCTGGTCCCACTACACAGTGCCTGCTGGTATGACAGTCATACAGTGGGTGTCAGACTTCAGTGAACGCATTAAACAGCTGCAGAATATATCCCAGGCATCTGCTTCAGGTGGAGCCAAGGAGCTAAAGGTAGGCCAGACCGTTCTAATCCACCCAATTTTGTGAGGTGATAAAGTCTCTATTGTCGTGTAGGCCTCCTGTTGCCAGTGGCAGAGGGCAAGGAGATATTTTTGTCTGTTCAATAGCAGAACGGCACAGGTACTACGGATACACATCAAGCAGATTGGCTGAAGCAAAAAGCAGTTAAGGACCTAAGATGAACAATAAAGAGGGCACAAAGATAAATTTGGGAGAGTAGTGGAGAAGAATACCAGCCAAAGGCAGAGAAAATGGGAGAGTTGAATGAAGGGATAAAGGGGGAGTAGTATGTGGACTGGAAATGATCTACCAGATCTTCAGCTGCAGTCCTCTGGTGCTGGTCTAATGTATTAAGATGCATCAAACTAACTTGGTTATACATTTACTCAACAGAACATTCATGTTTGTTTGGGAGGCCTGTTTGTACCAGAAGCTTACATTACTGCTACAAGGCAGTATGTGGCTCAAGCCAACAGCTGGTCCCTTGAAGAACTCTGCTTGGAAGTCAATGTGACAACAACTCAGAATGCAGTACTGGATGCCTGTAGCTTTGGAGTAACAGGTTAGTTGGAGCTACTGGTTTCAAGGGTCAAAACAAAGGAAACATCCAAATGTTGAAGTTCCATTCTTGGCAGGGCTGAGCTCACATTAATGGTGAACACAGGAAGCAAAATAATGCAGTGTAAAGTGTAGGAAATTAAATGCCACATAAATTTTTGTACCAATACTGGATGCAACCCCAAACAACTTGGAGCCAGAGAGTCTCATTGGGTAATACAGGAACTCCAGTACAACCTATTAGGTGTTGCCTTGCCCATTTGCAGATCCTTTTGTTTCATGTATACAGTTGACGTGGCAGTGAGCTTACCAAGATCAGATCCCTATCCTGGAAGTTTTTCATATGGCTGCATCCACATGCTGTACATGTGGGAGACATTTGTGACGTGCACTCCTTAGTGTAGTCTTCGGGTGAAGTCATGAATCAGTAATATTGTTTACAGTACTTTGTTAACTTCTCTGACCTTAACTCAATAGGCCTGAAGCTCCAAGGAGCCACGTGCAACAACAACAAGCTATCGCTTTCCAATGCCATCTCAACAGTACTGCCCATAACTCAGCTCCGCTGGATCAAGCAGACAAATGCTGATAAAAAGTCTAATGTGGTGAGTAAAGGAGCTTACTGAGCCTCATGCTTTGCAGCCACCCAACCTGTGTTTCCATCTCTTGTAATTTCCTTAATCTATTTGTTTCACAGGTGACACTGCCAGTTTATCTGAACTTCACTCGAGCTGATTTGATCTTCACAGTTGATTTTGAAATTGCTACCAAGGAAGATCCTCGTAGTTTCTATGAACGTGGTGTGGCTGTCCTGTGTACTGAGTAAAGACTAACAAGTAACTGTAACAAGTAGTTGAACACAAACTTTTTTTTTTGCAAATGTTATCCGGTTCTAGAAAGATGTTTTAAAACTGCAAGACATTGTTAAGTTGTCAGATGGAGGTGTAGGGATGACTATGATTGATGTATTTGAAAGATGACTAGTTGTTGACGGTTGGATGGACTTTGTTTTTAGATGATTCTAGAGTGGTGCACTAATGTTGGCTTACTTCTAGAATAAACCTTTACAGCAGGATTCCTTGTTGTCTACTTTTCTTAAGCATTAGATTAGTCCAGGACACCAACAAAATACATCTACCATTCCTGAATGGACAGAGCTACAATTAAAAATACTGTACAATAAAACTCGTGAACGTGTTACATTCTTACTGGGGAATATGCTGAATAATAGAACATACCATGATATGGTAGTGTTAAATCATAACTCTCTATCCCTAGGAATATGATCTACTGACTTTCTGCATTAGTTATTAAATGCCCTGGACTAAATTTATTAATTCAGTTCAGCTTGTACACAAAGCATTTATGAGAAGTAGTTTAAAAATATGTGCTAGAGCAGAGGCAAACTTTCTGTCCTTCAGAAGTTGGACTACAGCTCCCATCAGCTAATCTGCCTGAGACTGAAAGGATCATGAAAACATCTGGAAAGCCACATGCTGCCACTCCTACTCTCCAGGAAGAATGCAAAGAAAATTCCAACTGATAAATCATCAGAGTCCACGAAAATTGAGACAGCATGCCACAGCAGCCACTGACTCATTTCTCTTGGACTGTTTGAGCAGGACACCAAAACCCAGTCAACTTTACACCTCCTCACATCTGGCATAGTGTCTGCTGCTTGTCTCCCTGTTTGAAGAGCTCATCAGTTAAGGTGAAAGATACTAGGCATTACTGAAAAACTTAAATAGGACTCACTGCCATGTCAATTATTTTAGCAAAGCTAGGAGTGGCAGGGCAGTCATTTTGGGACTTAGTCTTTGCTGTGCTGCATCTCAAGGATCCATTTAGCCCAGCATTCTGTAGTTAGAAGTTTTTAGGAATGGCACAGTGATAAATCATGTCCTTAATATATCTTTGAAACAAGTGCCCTCCTTGTAATAAAGCTCCATTTAGCTGACTTTGGCTGATACTCGCTGATAAGTCTAACTTCCATGAGTTGTGTTACAAATGGTGGTTTTTGTACTCCATGCTATACCTCTTCTTGCCCTCATCTTCCTGTTTTCTCTCCATCAAAGACTAGCTTCTGTGGCAGTAACAGAAACACCCTTAGCCATTTTAGGTGCCATGGAAGAAATACCAGAATAACAACATCATTGCCATATGCTTTTAAGTTCAGCTTATTTCAGACATTAACTTTTTTCCATCAAGACATGGTGAAACAGATTATGCAGTGAACTGATCTTAGGAGGCACTCCAGTCATACAGTGCCAAGGCTGTTCTTGCTAGATGGAGTTCATTAGCTACCATCACTGCATCAGTTAAATATTAAGGCAAGCAAAGTGCATGGGTGTCAATAGCTCAACTAAACTGAAAATGAGACAGCTGCATCAGCAATAAAAGCCGAGAGGTTACAAACTACATCAGAACAACTGGGCAGCTGTTCTCTTCATGTTTCTTCAAAAATACTTTTTCATTTCTTTTCTGTGCTCCTCCGCTTCTTGGACTGGAAAATAGTCTTTCAGAATTCTAAGAACTTAAAAGATTCAAACAGATTTGAAGGCTTAGCAGTCTCCACCATCTCATTTATTATAATGACAGGTGGGCCATTAACAAAGCAACATTACACTATGCTTAGCTCCTTGATAAATCAAGCCACCCTTAATCTCTTCCTTATTTTTTCTCCAGTACAGTCAAGAATAGACCGCCCTTGCTTTCTGGTGATACTGGGCTTTTCGCACAGCTCATTGTCACACTCCATCAACATGGGCTGCAGGGCAGGATCTGATACTGCATTTTCAGAGATTCCACTGTGCCTTGAGGGTGCATATGGCCTTAGATACCATGAAGATTCTGCAGTCAGTGGTAAGATTTTAGCTGTTTTGTGGAGTCCAGGTTCCTCTTCCTCTTGAGCTATAGTGACAGACACTGCTCTGAACAGTGATGTGGAACTGGAGTCCAGATCTTCTGGATTCAAACTGTCTCCTGTAGTCAAAGGTTCAATTATAGGATGCTTTGGAAGGATTGCTGTACTGTGACTTGAGTCAAGGGAACCCAAACTACAATCGGATTCACCTGAAAGTTCTTCATAATCGGCATCATAGGGGTCCAAGACCTAAAAAAAGCAACAGATAGATTTTACTTGCAATGAGAGAAGTTAAAGGTCCTCATCTTATAAATGTAAGACATATAATCCAGCTCTATCACTAGGAAAAGTTTGGGTTTTTTATAGTATTAAGTCTCATCAGTCATGCAGGCTGGGATGTTTTGGGGGCTGTAATCCAAAACAGTAACTCTTCCCATCTCTGTACACTTCCACTCTAATGGGAAGCATTTCTCAAAACAATAGAATATAAAAAATCAATACTAAACAAAGTATGCTTATTGGTCTGTACTTCTTTTCTCTGTCAAAGGTGTTTTGATTCTAAAACAAACTGAAGCTTAACCCAAGCAAGACAAAAGTAGAACAACAGAATAGGAACCCAATGGAATTATACTCCCTTTGAAGACTTTCATGTGCAGTTTTTTTGGGTTCTAGGATTCACACCTAAATTTGTACATGCAGGCTTTTTTCAGCAGCCACGTTTGTGTTTGCGTACCTGATGCTATGTTGTGCCCTCCTGCTGCAGCAATCATCCTGTTTGGATGTGATCTACATGGGACTACCTCTGAAAAATAATGAACACTTGGTCCATGATGATGCCAACAGAGGGTAAGCACAGGAGGCTTGAAGTGACTCCCCTGCTATGACAGCTTCACTATGTGCCAGTGTGTTACTGTGAATTCCAGACTATCCCTTGCAATCCTGCCCACAGAAGGATCTCTTCTGGGCAGACACATCCTTTGGTCTCATTGCCCTCAGGGGTATGTTCATTGAGGTACAGAAGTTGTGTTCCTTGTGCTTGTAAGCAAAGTATACTTCAAAAAATAATCAGGACTTCGGCAAATTGATCAGAGTTCTGGTTTTAATTGGTTCTAAATTGTGCAGGAGCAGTTTCCTTTTTCACAGTCTTGTCTGTAATTACATTTTAATCGTTTTTATGTTTTGTTCCATTTTATATGTTAACATCTAGGTGTATCGAGTGTTATTTAAGAGAAACAACGAATCTTGTGGCACTGGAAAGACTAGCAAGCTTTATGGCATAATCCTCCATGAACTTAGAGCCTACCTTCATCAGATGCATCCCATGAAATGGGCTGGAGCCCATAAAAATTAAACCAAATTAAAACCAGCCTTTAAAATGCCTCAACAATGGTTGCTGCAACAGACTAGCATGGCTGTATTTCCCGTTTTAGAAGTGAGGCAAAGTGATTGGTTGATAAATTGCTTGATTGCATTTATATGCCACATTTCTCTCATACCTGGGACTCAAGACAGTTTACAAAACAGTGAAAAACAACAGAAAATTAAAGTACAATAGAATTACAAATGTTAAAAGGAGTTAAAATGCTTTAAAATATTTGGTTACAAACAACAGCACTAGTTTACTTTTTTTAAAAAGAGCACCAACGCACTGGGAAAATCTACAAGAGGCCAGAAAACTGCACACTTGGTCTCTGGAGCTTGTCCACTTGTGTCCTACACTTACCAGTTGAGAAGTCATTTGTATTTGGTATTGCACACCAGTTAGCATATGCTAACAAAGGCAAACACCAATTCCTTAACTAGTGGCAATTCACTACTGAAACGTACACTGATGGACTTACCAGTGTAACTCTTTAACTATATTCTGGCCAGTAAGAGATAAGAGGCAGAGGAAAGGTAAAGAGAGTCTGCCGTTCACTCACTCACTGAGAAGTTTTACAGGCAGAGTATTTCGCACCCTACACCTAAGTGCCCAATTGCAACATTTTGTTGCCGATCCTTCTGTAACCCAATCCTGTATTTCTTTGACAAATTGCATATGTGTAAGAGTAGTTGTGGAAAAAAATAACTCAGGTGTTGCTTTTAAAAAAAAGAAGCTGCAAACTTACTTGAAGTTCTGCATAGCTCGCTTTCTCCTGGAATCCTTCGGAAAGCACGCTGCTGGACAGAACCTGTTAGTGGCAAGACACTTTCAGATACATCTATAGAGCACGCTTAGAGCCCAGACATGCAAGTTAACTGGAAGGGCTATGAAGTGACACAGCTGTTCCAAGTTCAACTTGTTTGCAGAGAAACTTAGAGCCTTGACCATTTCCTTTTCTAAAAGAATTGTGGTAATTTGTCACCCTTTCATCATTCGGGAATATGATGATGAAGTCAAAAGCAACTATTTTCTAAGGGTTCAATACCTTCCCATAGAACTATTTCAAACTTTCTTTTCTATAGGCCTCCAGAAAACTACCGTCAGTCTTGGTGAACCATGTAAAACTTTTTTATTCTAAAAGTCACACAAACAGCTTATACTTAGCTATTTTTATTTTCAGCTCCATCATCACTACCACCATAACCCATTACATGGAACTGCAAGATGACTTTTTTTGTTAAGTAAGAGAAAGAGATAGTTTAATTTCCAAAACAAAAACATTCAGACAAGTTTAATTGGATATACTGGTCCTCTGCACATAAGGGTGTTTGGATTTTTCTTCTTTTTTCTGCTACAACATTTAACAGTGGTGTTCCCTGCCCACCACCCAGAAGTGGTTCAAGTAAAATGATTGCAAGTGTTTCCTCATAACCTGAGTTTGATTCCATCAGGTTCAGCTGCCCACCTCCAAGTTGACTCAGACTTTCATCCTTCTAAGGTCAGTAAAGTGAGTACCCAACTCAGTGGGTGGGAGGGGCAAAGTGTTCCTTGCTTAATTATGTTGTATACCAAAGAGATCTATAGCACTAGGAAGTGATATGTAAGCCAAAATAATACAAATAGATAGATTAGATAGATTAGATAGATTAGATAGATTGATAGATAGATAGATAGATAGATAGATAGATAGATAGATAGATAGATAGATAGATAGATAGATAGATAGATAGATAGATAGATAGATAGGCAGCATGCTACTTATTTATTTATTTATTACTTATCCTTCTTGCTTTAACTATCCCTTCGCAAGCACTGATGAATACTGAATTCATGTGGTTGGTTTTTTAAAGAGGCATAAAATAATGAAATAAAGTAATTATCATAATTTTTAGAATGTCTTTGGAGGCAAGAAACAAGGCTGGCTAAAAGTTCTTGTATTTGCTCAACTGTAAATTTCAAGTTTCAAGTGTAAATCACAGAATTATTACCTCTAGATTAGCATCTGATTCGGATTCGGTGCTAGATTCAACTGTGCACTTTTGCTATGAACATGAAGGCAGGGAGAGTGGAAGTTAGTAAACATAAGGACTTTTATTGATTTACTTAACCTGTTTTATTTGTTTATGTAGCATATTTCAATCTCCTTTCCCAACCACAAGCTCTTGAATGGTCCTATTAGCATGGATCTTGGCAGCATGCACTGGGGTGGGGGCATGGTCGGGGGGACCCCCCCCTCTCCTGTTCATGAGTACTCATAATATTTCAAATACTGTACATTTTAAACCATCAATTTGCTGAGCTTTAGACCAAGAAGGTGGACAGTGTCGTTTGAAGAGAGAACCCTGCCTGATCACCACCCCTGCACACTCATGAAGTTCCTGACAGGATTGCTCAAAGCAACTTCCTGAAGTAGAGATGGACTCGCATGCACGCGCACACACATACTGTGTACATAAACCTGTAGCCCAGATGTTGTACTCCATATGCCTGAGGAAGTGGATTATAACTCATGCAAACTTAAACTAAAATAAAGTCTTTGGTCTTAAAGGTGCCACTGAGCTTTTATGTTTGTTTTAATGACAGCAAAGGGTAATGTTCCAGCATCAGCCATTTTGCTCCCCATTCACGTCTTAAGAAAGTGATTTCTACCACAGAAGACGGCCAAGAGAAAACACTAGCCATGTTTTATCATATTCCCCAGAGACACATGAATGGTGTGACCTAATGAAAAAGAAAAGGCTCTCCTGTACTTTTAACAGAAATTTCAGCAGGTGGAGCTTGTTAATACCTGCACATGCCAAAATTTCCCCTTCTAAGCAACTATGAAAAACAAAACAAACTGGATGGCATGAGGGCCATAACACCAAGCAGGAGAAGAAGTATCTTCCTTTCTGTGATGAATCCCCAGGGGATACCTCAAAGCTGCTGTTATCCAGAGGTGCAAAATGGTGGGAGGGGGTGAGGGAACAGAGAAAGATTATTTTACCTCAGCATATGTGTGAAAACCTTTTTTTTAAAAAAAGGATTCCTTGAAAAACACACCTGGTCTTCTTTGTACAGAAAACTCATCAACAACCCAGGCCTTTCAAGAGTAGACCTTTGGTCTAGATGGGCAGGGTAGAAATCCAATAAGTAAATAAATAAAACTTGCCCTGCCATCTCCCAGGGAACCCCACAGCACTTTCTAGCCAGACTTACCTTTCACAGGTGCGGCCCATTAAGCGGCTCCTCCAAGCCACAGACCTAAAGCCTAGCACAAAATCCCCCCCCCCAAGCTCAGGCAAAGCCCTTAACCGACCAGGTGTGGCTGGTATTACCATGAGTGGCCAAGGCTTGGTTGGTAGCTATGATTTTGAAGCTTGCATTTTGCAAATCGATCTTACCATGTATTTCTGAGCTAGTTGCTCTATATCTGCTGGTTTTTTCCTTGCATTCCCCAGAAACTCATTTGAACTGACTGCAGAAGGAGCAGAGAGCTTTGTTAAGAGAAATCAGTTATTATTCCAGTGAGTGGTTTGCTTCCCCTCCCCTACACACACACACACACACCTCATCCTCCTCACTTTCTGTAGGACAAGGATTAAACCAGAGTCTGAAAGGCTATTTGAATATGTAGAGGTGTTTACATTTTAGACTGATCAGCACGGGGGATGAACCTGAAAAGGCACTCAGCTGGAAATCCCAACACACACAACCACTCACAAAAAAAAACCCCAACACAGTGTGCTGTATGTTGTGGCACTACACCATTTGACTCAATGGCGATAGCTTTCTAAATAAATTAAAATAAAAACTATAATAAGCTAACTGAGCTTTTCCACTCAGTTTTATACAAATGATCCTGTTTTTGCAAATACCACCATAGTTCACCAACTAGGTCCTTGTTTTTATTTTTAATTTAATGTATTACCTTCTACCAAAAAAAAAAAGCACAGAAAGCAACCAACAGTTAGGTTAACACAGGTCAAACCAAAATATTCACTAAAGAGAAAATAAAAAACAAAGCTGTCGATAGAGTCTTCTCAAGACCCATCTCATCAGCTAGAACAGTATCTGTGCTTTAGGCCCAGGAGAAATGCAGCCATTTTAGGCCTCTCGCTGGATGAGGAGGCAGGGAGAAGAGTTACAGCATAGTCCAAATCCTCCTTACTCAGAGATGGGACCCCTGAATTAAAGCATGCTCCTAGATGGAGTGGACTTTTTCACTTTAACTACATCTCACCATTCCCCAAACCCTAAGACTGAAGCCCACAGTCCTTCTAGATTTCCTTTACAACAAGGAAAAATTAGGACAGCTGCAAAAAAAGAACAACAAATGGAGCCAGATGGGATTTCACTTTATGTATTGCTGTCTACTCTAGCTCAGTGTCAACACTGACTTTCAGCAACGTCCCAAGGTTTCTTTTTCTGGAGGCTGAACAAAGCCCACGCTCTGCCACACCTGCATGCCCCAGGTAACTTCCATAGGCTTCCCACTTTGGAACCTCCTCCTCCTCCTCCTCTTCTTCTTCTTCTTGGGCTCCATGGATGCCTTTGTCTCTTTAGGGCTAACTGCAGCGCCTCTAACTTTTTTTTAAAAAGAACAAATACTTGCACCTGGATTTCTTCCTGCATGAAAGCTGTAGTGCTAGAGGTGGCCAGATAACAAGAAGGGCAAGGACTTTTAATTAAAGTTGTAGAGAAGGCATTTCAGCTGGTGCTGCTTTCCCATCAAAAAACGCCAAAGAGCAAAGCCCACCCCCATTCATCTTTCTCTTAAAGATATAGGAGCCTTCCTCGTTTGGATCAGATGACGAGACAGGCTTGGTTCAGAGGCCCCTTCCCATCAACACTAGTTCTCCCATGACCTGATGAATTACAACCTGATGATGTTTGCATTTACGCCTGCTCACTCTCTCCCTCCCAGTGCCTTTTCTTTTTAAGCCATGTCTTCCTAATTGCAAGACAGAAGGCAGGAAATGTTTCATTGCTGATCTCTGAGCTTTGATGAAACTGAAGTGCTTTGAATGAATCAATTAAATAAACATTGCTCTCTTTTTCCCAGAAACGTCTGGGAACCAGAATGTCCATGGGCTACACAGTCCATGACAGGATGGACCGTCCTGCCCGTGCAGTAAACTAAAGATATACTCAACTGGGTGGGCAAAATGTGGCCTCCGGGTGCCCCTGGTTCTAAAATGTCAAAAAAATAATCCCACCACTAATCTTTTTTAACAAACAGAACAGGCACTTCTTCCTCCTACCCCTCCCCCCCTTAAAAGAAAGGGCTGAAAATAGGAATTTTAGGACTATGGAAATGGCCCACAGAGGAGGATGGGCGCCCATGGCCTTCAAGCCTCCTGGGCTTGCACACTCCCTTTGAAATGAAACATTTATTGTTTGAAGGTGCACAAAAACCTAATTTTAATTTCTGCATTGCATCAAAGTAAAATGAAGACTGGAAGAGAATGGTCTGTTTATCACTGTCATGGAAAATAGGGAAGGGGGAGATTTCAAATAATATCTGCAACTTCTTCTGCAACTTATGTTTTATTTCACCGGAATTATGTTTAAACATGTCTATTTGTAAGGCTGTGAAAATCCATTTGCGCTCAGCAGAGTCAAGCATTCGCAGAGAGTAAAAAAGAGCCCAGATTCCTTTCGGCGTCACTGGGAAAAGAGAAAGCAACATGATGAGTATAGGCAACCAAGCCATACATCTCCACATAGTTAAAACACTTAAAAATGCGTAGAATTTTAGTGCTGGAAAAAGAAATGGCAGGGAAAGGCACAAATAGCTAACAAAATAAAGTAGGAAGTTCCTTTATATCAAGTTGGACCTATAGTCAGTCTGATTCAAAATGGCCTACACCATCTGGTGTCCTCAAGTTGTGTTTCACTGCAACTCCCATCATCCCCATGCTGAATCGGGATGGTGAGCATTGCAGCGCAACACATCTAGAGGGCACTAGATTAGGACAGCTAGTCAGCACTAACAGTGGCCTGCCTTCTAGAGTTTCCGACAAGATTCTTTCTTAGCCCCAACTGGAGATGTTTGAATTTAAACCTGGGGTCTTCTGCACACATACACGGAAGGCATATAAACCATCACTGAGCTGCAGTCTACCTGAAGAGGTGGGAACACCAGGAGAAAGAGCACTGGAGCAGATTTTATACAAGTGTCAGATTCATGTCCGTGTGCTTGGGAAGAAGTAGGCAGACCTCTCTACAAGGCAGCTTATAGAGCAAGGGTGGACAATGATGACCCTCCACATTTTGCTGGATAACAACTCCCATCATCTCTCACCATGGACCAGTGGTGTAGTGTGGGTTGCCAGCACCTGGGTCAGGTGTTGTTCCCTGTCAAGGTCACCTTGAGAAGCAGCAGGGGAGGGGACTTGACGCCCCTCCCTCCACATGATCTGTCCACCCACTTTGTTTATGCCAAGGAAGGGAGCCCAGGCTGCTCTGGGCTGCCCTTTGCCCTCCAGGCTATCCTTTCCAAGGAGGTGAATCCACTAGGCCAGTGGTCCCCAACCTTGGCCCTCCAGATGTTCTTGGACTACAACTCCCAGAAACCTTCACCACCACCTCTGCTGGCCAGGATTTCTGGGAGTTGAAGTCCAAGAACATCTGGAGGCCCAAGGTTGGGGACCACTGCGCTAGGCCATTGCTAAACCCCACTGCTGCCTCTGCTGCCTCCCCAGAAGGGGAAATGATATGAGAGAGAGAGAGAGGAAGCTGCATCCAGAAGAGAGTGGACAAGGCTTGTACGCTTTCTCACCTACTGTATGCTCCGCCTTGCCTGATGGCGCTGTGGCGGGGCCAAAATTTTGTGCCCCACACGAATTTTGCGCCCAGGGCAGCCAAATTCCCTGTGGAACCCCCATGCTATGTCACTGCAATGGACTATGCTGATTAGGGCTGATGGGACTTGCAGTCTGACAACATAAACAGCCCACTCCTGTTCTACAGAAATTTAGAGAAAGTATGCAAAGAAGGGAAAAGTAAAGGTACCGAGATCAGAAGAAGAATCTGCTCCTTCTAGTTCCTTGTCCACTGCAAGTAATACAGGTTCCCTTACTTCATATAATATTAGCAAAAGAATCCATTTTCTACCTCAAGCCTGGGTCGCACGCAACTTCTTTTGCCGCAGGGTTTCCCCGACCCGCTCTAGAACTGGTATCTCTTTAGTCTTCCTGATGGTCGTTTCATCTTCCATGGTGACGTCCCCATCAGATTCTGCCAGCAGGGGCTGTGGCAGAAGAGCCAGCAGTGCATTCGGGGTGAGGTCTGCAGTTTCAGAAGGCTCCACATCCATGAGTAGGGAAGAGTCCGGGATCAGCCCCAAGGCTTCTGCAAAAGCATCAAAACTGTGAAGAGGTTCGGAGCTCTTGTGAAGTCTTTGAGGCAGATTCAGCCCAGCCTCCCTACAGAGGTTTCCATTGGCTCTTTCGAAGGCATGGGTGGGTTCCATCTCAATATCTTGCTGTCTTCTTGTTGATGGAGAGACTTGTGTTGCTGGCATTTGAAAAGCTGGAGACTCGTCCTCTGGCAGTTCTTCACTCAGATGGATGACAGGAGAGCTAGTCCTTCGATAGCTTCTGTCATGAAGAGAGTTCATACTACAATCAGGTTGAATGGACAGCTCTTCCCAGAATCTACCACCAGAATCTGAAAGCTACCACAACAAAACAACATGAAATAGCATCACATAAATAAGTGCAAGATGTCCTCATTTATCTAAAGAGAGCAGGACAGGGTGTCTAAAACATTTAAATAACCTGAGATGTTTTGTGTTCTCTTTACTTCACACATATATTGGTTCCAGGCCTGCACAGAGCCAAGTTTCAGAACTTTCTAGGGCAGAGCTCTACATACATTCCAATCTACCCAAAAAGAAGGTACTAAGACAGTGCAAAATGAAACAAGAGATAGTGCTGGCAGATGAGACTCCCATGTAAGAAAGCATTCAATATCCAACTAGGGAGCAGCAAAGGACAAGAAAAAATAGAGCTATTGCTAATGATGCAACTAGATTAAAGCCAAGAGGACATCTACTGTACTGGCTAACATGCACAGAAGGGAAAGCAAAATCCAATGCTGTACAGCACATAAAATTGGAATATGGAACATGACAAGTATGAATCAAGGTAAACTGGAAGCCATAAAGCAAGAAATGGAATGCAGGACTTATTTCAGTGAACTAAAGTGGACTGGGGCATTTTCAGTCAGATAGCTACAAAGTGTTCTACTCTGAAAATGACAAACCAACAAGAAATGGAGTGGCTCTAATACTGATGAAAAATGCAGCACAAGCAGTTAAAGGCTATAATGCAAAGCCTGACTAAGTAATATCAGTCAGACTTTATGAAAAACCCAGCAACATAACCGTTTGCTCTATGTTCCAGTTACTGATGCTGAAGAAAATGAAACTGAAGGCTTTTATGCAAGCATCCAAGAAGAAATTGATCACACACCAAAACCAGACATGCTCACAATCATAGGTGACTGGAATGCAAAAGTAGGGAGCAACGCAGAACAAAATGTTGCTGGGAAATTTGGCCTAGAGGACAGAAATTAAGCAGGAAATTGAGTGAACTGAGTCCTTTCCTCCCAAGTGGTGAGACTCAAGGAGGCTCAAGATCATTAAAACAATCACAAAATTAAAACAAGATAGAGGGATTATTAAAAAATTAGCCATGAAAAAGCTATAAATCATAATATTTATTTATTTATTAGATTTATACCCCGCCCACCTAGATCGAAGTCTACTCTGGGCAGCTAACAATAAAAAATGGAATTAGAACAATATAATAAAGTAAAAAAACAACAATAGTAATGTGGCACAAGATAGGAAAAAGAAAAAAAAATTCAAGTGATGACAGGAGGGAAAGCCTGCCTAAAGAGGCAGGTCTTAGGTTTGCTCTTAAAAACACCCAGTGAGGGAGCCAGACAGATCTCTGGAGGCAGACTGTTCCAAGTTGAGGGGCCACTGCAGAGAAGGCCTGGTTTCTTGTTCTGTCTCTCCAGGCCACACCCTGTGATCCAGACCAATAGAGATGGGCAATGTGGCGACTGCCCACGTCACTCATGCTATTTCCAGGCCACACCCTGTGATCCAGACCAATAAGAGATGGGCAATGTGGCGATTGCCCACGTCACTCATGCTATTCATATTTCATGAGCTGATTTGCATGAGCCTATCAGAGGGCTGGAGAGGCGGAGTCAGCAGCTACATGAGGCTTGACAGGAGATAAGGCTGGTTAGTCAGAAAGATAGGGCTAGTTAGGAAAATAGGTAAGGGGTGGTAAGGAAATTGCAAGCAAAAAAGAACTAGGTATTGAGGGAACTGTTGATGAATTGCTTATGTATACGGAATATCTGAAAAACTTCTGTTATTACTCATTCTGCTTCACTTCAATCAATAAGTTCTCTTTCTGTTTACAAGACAAGCATTCTGACATACGTCATTTATATTGCAGATTGAAGTAATCCACTGGTGGCAGCGAGAAGAACGCAACATGTGCCTTTCTGAGGGAATAATAAACAGGGGGCACGTGGGTAAACGTCACAGGCACAAACTGCTGATTCATCAGTTCGTGCTAGTTCGTTTAGTGGCCAAACAAGTATTTGGCTGATGAACAAACTAGTACAAATCACCCAACTGGTAGTTTGTACCCATCCCTATAGACATATGTTTTACCTTCAGCATATTATAGAGAGGATGTCGGTAATAATATAGACAAGATCTTCACTCTGTCTTAATCCACAAAGGCAGGTATGATTAAGGGAAGGCCTATTCCCATATTTTCTTCCCAAGACAGGAGAAAGGCAGCAAGTTCAGCTGGGCTCCGATAAAGGCCATTTTCTGCCCCCATTTCTGCCTTTGTTTTAGATAGCAAAGTAGAACAGAGCCCCAGGAATAAAGAAGTGTTTGTTCTTGCTCTGATTACATTAAATAATTTCTGCCTCTTTTTTCCCCCCAAACTCCATCCCCAAACTCTCTTTGTAAGAATTTTAATACAGTTATTTAGAAGCCAGATTTCCAGCAGGTGTTGTAAATTTCATTTTCAGCAATACTGAATGAGTACAAGAATGAGACCATCCCTTGCATCCGGTCACACTAAAAGTGGTATACTAGTTCTGAGGGTGCCAAGTTGCGTTGCAACCAGAACACTGCACAGCTGTGATCATTTTCACGCACTCCTACTTATAGCCAGCCTTGCACCCTTTTTCCCTCTCCCCAAACAAGAAAGCACCCTTAAGGCACCTTGAAACGAAAAGAGGTGCTTTTCTTCTGCAGCTTCTGAGATCCTGTGGTGTTCATAACATTGAAGGCCCCCTTGATGCACTTCCTCCACTTCTGCTGTTCACCTGTCATAGATTATATTTGTTATAGCTATGCAAAGAGGGGAAGGGGAGGTTATCTTTCCGTTTCGCTTTCTTTAAATTTAGACCTAGGATCCTAAATACAAGGCAGTGCACTCTGATCCCCTCTAGCACCCAGTTTTGATATATCTTTGCAAAACTTACAAAAATAAAAATGACAAAAACCAAAGAATACTTCCCTTGCCATTTAGGTTTGATTTTAAAAAAAATCATAAAACCAAAAAATTCTGTCAAAATGTCTCAGAGGTATCTTCTAATTCCCTATATTGTATAATGCGATTTTTGAAATTAATTTAAGTATTGTTAATTTGTTTTAGCTAGAGAGACTAACACAAAGATAGCCAAAACGAAGTCCTAGGTTCACCAGCTGCCATTCCAGCCCCCTCCTGCCGAAAGCTGTTATTGCAGTCCCTATACTGAAATTAATCAAGTTTGCTAGTATTCATATAATAAAGTTGCAAAAATGTACAAACCTACTTGGTGAGCCACGTGGCCATCTCTTCCTGGGAACCCATCCATGGGCCCGTGGTGTATGTCCTGCTGCAAGAATAATTACATCAGAAGCATTAACGAGAGTACAGTAGAAAGTACAAAAACTGGCTACCTTCCTCACAACAAGTCCTCTCACCCGCGTCTCAACTGCTCGGAAATATTGCAGTTGTGTATGCGAGTTGATTGAAAAATGCTGTATCAATGCTTAGTCATTTAATTATATTCACCTAATGGAAACATTCCAACATGTAATATAAATACCTTTAGAAATCCATTGGACTCAATGGTGTTGACTAACATCCAAATATACATGTTTAGTATTGTGCTGTATCACAGCCATATGATATTTGTTTATTTATTTATTTATTTATTTATTTATTTATTTATTTATTTATTTATTTATTTATTTATGATGTTCAGTCAGTGCTACATGCGAAGTTAAATGAACCACAATGTACTAGAGAATAAGCTCCACATTTAAACAAATAAGGCAGCAATCGACTAAGTCAAAGAGTCAACAGTTCAACTGATAAAATCTCTTCAAATCTGCATATGGGTGGAATCATATGTTGTCTTCTGAAGATAAGAACATATTTTGCATTGCAATAAGGAGATATATGTTGCACTGGCATCCAGCTTACAGCACGAATTTTCTCCCCTTTGTGTTCGCGAAGAACAAAAGTCACTTCTGAGGTTGAGCTTGCTCTCTACTACTTTTGCATTAAAGTGTAAGAAACCTTTGTCAGGATCCCTCTGTGTTGTTACGTAAGGAATTGCATTTCTCAGCTACTACATAAGGATGGTATCCTAAATTCATTTGCACAAGATGTTCTTCAAGGAGCTTTCCTTTCTGTGAGCATGCATACCTACAAAACCCCATGGATTTCCTTTTATTTGCTACCTTTTCCCAGAATTCACACCTGTGATGGCCTACAATGCCATTTTTAAAAACTAAAACTAAAAATATATTAAATAAACAACCATAAAATAGAATTAATTCCATTGTTATTAAAAATGACATTAAAGCGCAACAACATCTCTTGATGATAACACCAATACTTAGTATGTCAACTAAAATCTTATGATTACGATCACCAATGATCTGAGCGATTATAAACGTCTTTGCCTGCTATTAAAAATAGAGCACACCTAAGCTCCCTTGGCAAGTTCCAGTGTTTGAGAAGGATCCCTGAACACAATGGGAAGGGCTGCCTTTACATTCATTCATGTGACAGTGCATTCCACATAGACATTTTCTCTATGTGCTTGTGGAATACAATTTTGGCCACTGCACTGCTCTTTGCATGGTAAGTAATCCAAAATATCTTTGTTCTAATTTGCTGCTGCATAAATCAGAGATGATGTTTCAATTCTTTAACATATTGGCAAGCACTTAATCTAACCAGTTAAACAGTACGTAGCTTTAATAATAATAGCAATGATAATGATCCTGTAATTATGCAACTGTTACTCCAATAACATCTGGAGGACTGCATATTCACTAGCCTTGCTGTATATAACATGACTAAACTTTGTCTCCAAAACGTTGCGAACAAGTGCTATGCGCAGGGAAGCATAGCTTGGGTTGAGAGATCCCTCTGGACCTACCAAAGGGAATATCCAGTTTCAGAAGACAACCCTCTGCTTTCTCCACTCATGTACATAAAGAAGAATGACCCAGTCTCCTGGAAAGGAGCTAATCTGTACCTTAACGCTGGTGTGAGAAGTTAGTCCAGCCTCAGACTTGACTGTGCATTTCTGCTGGAGTAGGGGGAGAGTAGAATGAACCTGTTAAACATCTGGACATGAATGAATAATAAACTTCTCTAAAGGCGAAAACATACCAAAAAAGTAGAACTGTCCAGAATTCTATCGATGATTTATGCTTGCATAAATGCAGTGGCATAGTTAAGGAATTTCCACTTGTATTCCATATCACACAACTGGGGCTTAATGAGGAATACAAGCAACAATGCATTAACCAGTACACCTCTGCTGATTTCTTCACAGCTGCTCTTTCTAGTCTTCTTGTTGTTTAGCTGTTAAGTCATGTCCGACTCTTCATGACCCCATGGACCAGAGCATGCCAGGCCCTCCAGTCTTCCACTGCCTCCCGGAGTTGAGTCAAATTCATCTTGGTCGCTTTGGTGACGCCGTCCAGCCATCTGGTTCTCTGTCGTCCCCTTCACCTCTTGCCTTCACACTTTCCCAACATCAGGGTCTAGTCTTAAGTCTTTTCATTTCTTGGCTGCACTTCCCATTTGGATTGATGATGGAACCAAAGTATACAAAATCTTTAACAATTTCAGTTTCCTCATCATCAGTATTAAAAGTATATTCACTCATGATTTTTGTCCTTCTCAATGTCTCTCTGCTTTTGCATTTTCTTCTTTCATGACCGGAAGTAGTTTCAAGTCATTGCTGTATTCTGAAAGTAATATAGTGTCATCTGTATATCCTGATTGTTTAGCTTGAAAGATTGGACAGAGAACTGGTGGATAGATATTTGATATAAAAATGCCTCCCCATTTTATTTGTACTCCTTTTCCTAAGAGTGCCGCTCCTTAATTTGAAATCTAAATGTCACTTGGTTGTAATACTGTATTCATCTTCATCATCATAAAAATAACAAAAAATAACTTACTTTTATTTCACAAGCATTAAAGTAAGATACATTTCATTTTACAACCAGAACATAGAAAGAATAATTGCAAACAGAGTTAAATATTTTACCATGAATCTGTGTCTTAGTCCTTGCGTGCAGTCTAGGCCGCTGGCAAAATCCATCAGAGCTGAAGTCTAAACTAAAAGTAACAGGGGGGAAAATGCTAAGAAATCATCATCTACCAGATTCCCATATACAAAAGAGTCAGCTTTTTCTGAAACCTTGACATTTTGTCACCCATTAATCAGTCCCTTTCATTTTTAAAGCTGGCAAACTGCATGATGATTTAATTTTTCCTTGCCCACTTGTGACCCATTGGCCCCTGAGGGGGTGAGGGTTAAGGGACCTGAAGCCCTGAAGAGGGAGTTTGGTGTGGGTGTTGATCTCATCCTTTGTGACTTAAGCCATAGCCCAGGAATAGCCAGTAAGCCTCAAGCCAGACCCAAACCACAGACTGGTTTGATTGTCGTTTGCCTACACTCATCAGTTACTAGATTCTGAGTGAAAAGAAGGACAGGATGGTACCCCTTCTCATTCGCTGTATATCCAGAACCAGTCTAGACTGGTAGCTGATTCATTATTGTCTTAGGGCAGCGTCCTCAAGCACACTTGGGAGGGGGGTGAGTGTCGCACACTGATTTAGGGGAGTCAAGGACAGGTCTGTTCTCCAAAGCGAAAAGCATGGGGGTGGGAATGATTACTCAGGAACAACAACAAGGAAGCTGCTGTCAACACTTCTCATGAGGCAATTGCCTCACTCTGCCTAATGGTAGGACCAAGCCAGGGTGAGCCCTGAACTTGTAATGATTTATGGTCTCTGTGGGGAGAGACGATTAAAAAGACAGAGAAAAAGATCATTCCTCTGCATTCTTTACAACAGAGAGGGGAAACTTCTGGGATCGTTCCTCTTTCCCCCAGACTTCCGAAGCTCACATCTTTACCCAATCCCACACCTGTATTTGCTCCAAAAGTAGAAATCATTCCCTGCAGAGTCTCCTGGGGATTCTGATTTGCTACTATTGTATAAACATCATTTTGCTCCCCAGACCTAATGCAACTAGTCAGTTACTGCCAGATTAATTAAAAACACTTTGTAAGGCTTAGAATAGGGTTTGGGGGAGGGGAGGGGAGGACAACACATGCATACAATCAATGATGAAAGCAACATGATTTGGTCTCATCATGACTAATATGCTGCATTGGATTTAAGAAGATCTAAGTTATTATTAACTTCAGAAAAGGAAGAATACAGGGAGAGCCCCTCTAGTGTAGATCTCTCTCATTCAGCATTCTTTTTCACAAAATGGACAAGCTCGAGGGAATCTATGGGAAGTTCACAATCAGGCCATACACACCACTTTCACTTTGGGTCCCAACAACTGGTGCTCGAAGGCCATTAAAGCTGGCAGACGACTGGCCAACACCATCTTAACCTGGTAGAGGATTCCCTGGCCTGTTTGAAAGAGCTTGAGGCTACCATACTATATTCACCCAGCAACATGAGCTGGGTATCATCTTAATTTCACCCCAAGGAACATGCATTGACTACATGTTTGTAGGACGGCATTGTTAAGAATCCAACCTGAAATGGCTAAATTTTATTAGATTTTCTTAAACTTTCTGAACAGGCATGTTTATTTGTTAATTAAGGAACATTTTTGTTGTTGTTTAGTGGTTAGGTTGTGTCCAACTCTTTGTGACCCCATAGACCAGAGCACGCCAGGCCCTCCTGTCTTCCACTGCCTCCCAGAGTTGGGTCAAATTCATGTTGGTCGCTTCGATGACCCTGTCCGACCATCTCATCCTCTGTCGTCCCCTTCTCCTCCTGCCTTCACACTTTCCCAACATAAGGGTCTTTTCCAGGGAGTCTTCTCTTCTCATGAGATGGCCAAAGTATTGGAGCCTCAGTTTCAGGATCTGTCCTTCCAGTGAGCAGTTAGGGTTGAACATAGGGTGCCACTTTATATTGTTAGATCTTTGTTTTTTCTAGCCCATAGCTGACAAGGCCATCTAGGTACTGCTGGGTCTGACCAGATTGCAGAGAGAATTATTTCCTAGTCATTATCTGGAGTTCCATCCATGTCCTATTCAGGCCCAGTCTGCTTAGCTCCTGAAATTAGACAAGACTGGCATGTGTAAGGTAAAAGTAAAGGTTAAGGTTCCCCTTGACAATTAAGTCCAGTCATTTCCAACTCTAGGAGTCAGTGCTCATCCCTGATTGTAAGCCAAAGAGACAGTTTGTCTGTAGACACTTTCCACGGTCATGTGGCCAGCATGAGTAGACGTGGAATACCGTTACCTTCCCACCGAGGTGATGCCTATCCATCTTCTCGCATTTGCATCCTTTCAAACTGCTATGTTGGCAGGAGCTGGGACAAGCAACAGGAGCTCACCCTGTCATGCGGATTTGGACAGCCGCCCTTCCTACTGGCAAGTCCGGTCTCACAGCAGTTTAACCCGCAACGCTGCCTGCGTCATGTGTAGGGTGCTATGGTGCAATTTGTTGACACCCACCTTCAGTCTTCAGGGAGGCAGTGGCCACATGTCAAAATCTACAAGCAAAATAGGCAATCTTGAAAATTATTTCAAATCCATCTGAAACAATCCTTATCATGATCCTCATCACAGTATGCTAGGATCCACATTTCTAAATCAGAAACTTTACAATATATAGACCTACCTTTCTGTCATTTTAACTATTACCCTAATTGCAAACAAGACATCCAGGGAATATGTTCCATGGTAAGCTTACAACTATGGTAACATCAGTGTTGTGACAGACATTATATTATGACATCACTGTCAGTACGAAGATGTCATCTGCATTAGAGTTTCCAGTGATTTATTCAGCTTCAAAACATTCACTGCAGCTTCCTGGAATGCTAGAATAGTAGAACTGGAAAGGGAGACACAGAAATTCACAACAAAACCAACAGATTGTCCAATCCGGAATAAAACTCTCTGGTGAAGAAAAGTCCACCCCTCTTTGAGGCAGATCTTTCCAGCTAACAGTTCTTTCCAGCAGAGAATTCTGGACACCACATTTTAAGAAGGATGCAGGCAAATTGGAACAAGTTCAGATGAGGGAGACAAGGATGATCAGGGGGCTGGAAACCAAGCCCTGTGAGGAGAGACTGAAAGAACTGGGCATGTTTAGCCTTGAGAAAATAAGACTGAGGGGGGATATGATAGTACTTTTCAAATACTTGAAAGGCTGTCGTTCAGAGGAGGGGCAGGATCTGTTCTCAGTCATCCCTGAGTGCAGGACATGTAACAATGAACTCAAGTTACAGGAAGCCAAATTTCATTTTAAATATAAAGAAAAACGTCCTAATTGTTAGAGCAGTAAATTGTTAAAACAATTCTAATATGGAAGAAAAAAAAGGAGAATCACAGCTTTTATTCAAGGCCATGCTATTATCATTTTAACTGCTGGTCTGCAAACATGCTAAAGTGAAAGAAGCAAACCAAGTAATTACTTATTATTCCCCAGTAAGTTATAATGTAATTGTAATTATTTTTCTGTTATATAACCTTTGAAAAAGGCTGATAGGCTGGAACGGCATACGGCATTTGACACGGGACTGAACAGTATTATATCTTGGAACTGCATTTTCCCCTCTCTTTTTTTACCTAATATCAAAAGAGGTGGTTCCGTTTTCTGCTTGCAGTATGACTTCCCCATCCATCACCATCATGTCTATCATTTGCTAACCCCTATTTGGTCTGATTTAGGTTGGGGAGGATGTACATTTTGCCCACTCCTGAGGCACTGAATTCAAAGTTATAGATGCAGTGGTTTCACTGGCTGGGGAAGTCCAGAAAAAGTTATGTTTTTAGACACTGACCCACAGCAGCTTGTCTAAACAGTCCAGATGATCAGTGGTGATGGGGTAGAATAATGTCTGATAGGAAGAAGTCATTCTCTTCCAAATAATCTGGTGTTTGTTTCATAGAGATAGTTGGAGAACCTTCTCACCTTAGAAATTGAGTTGTGGTGCCATTTTGATTCCTGGGGTTGCCAAACTTGAGTTGCGGTAAGGATTTTTGGAAGAACCCCAACATGTACATCTCAACCTTCATCAAGATAAAACTCAGGAGGTGATAAGGTTTCTCTGTGTACTTGACAAAAACCAACCCATTCCATAAACAATTATTTCTTCACATCATGCTCCAGAAAGGAGGCCTTCCAGTTAAACCCTCTTCTTCTTCCTCCTCCTCCTCCTCGCTTGGACATATGTTAAGAAAAAGGGACCCCAAGTCCTCAAAGCTCTCTCGCCACCCAAGCCCTTTTTTACCTGGAGAGGTTTGCTTGGCAGACCGGATAGAAACTCCACAATGGTAGGCACTGTCATCTGCCATTACAGCGAAGTGTCTCTTTGGCTTGACCTGAATGGGGATAAAAGTTACAGAAAGGCTGCCGTCAGGTGGGTGCTGTGTAGTTGCCATCCACTTCCAAATTAAGATCCATTCCCCATACTCTGGCTTCTTTTCACCTTTCACTATAGATTCCTGTTTCTGATCAGGTTCTAGATCAAGGTACACTATTTTTCTGCGTATAAGATGCCCCCATGAATAAGACTCTCCCACACACTTTTCTAACACAAAATTAAGAAATCTAAGCAGGGTTTAGCAAGCGGAGGGAGAAAGCAGGGATCAAAATGCTGCAAGAGCACTTTAATCCCTGATTTCCCCTTTCTTGCTAAGCCTGCTTAGCAAGTGGAGGTGGAAAGCAGGGATCAAAGCACTTTGATGATTCCTGCTTCCCCCTCCACTTTCTTGTGAAGCAAGTGGAGGCAGAAAGCAGGGATCAAAGCACTTTGATCCCTTCCCCCTTACTTCCATGTATAAGATGATCCTCAATTTTTAATCTTAAGATTTTAGACAAAAGTATCATTTTATAAACAGAAAAATATGATCCATTATTCACATCTCTCTCTCCATTCTAGCCCACCATCCTGTGCAGGACTTGAAGGAGTTCAATAAATTACTTTTGAACTTAAGTATAAAACACAGACTCTGACTCTTGCATATGAATATTTCTAATCTGTATAAATATTATCTGACTGCCACACATTATTCCTCCAATTATAGACATGCATAAATTCACAAATGGCTTCATCTTATATCCATGCATGATGTTACTATATACCCGATACAAGGTGTTTTTCCCCCTAGTGGGACAGTCTATGTACTGATAAAACTTAGAGAGGACAGCCTTTAAATTGGCTTAATTGAAATCACCTGCTACCAGCAGCACTCCATCTGGGTAGGCTTGCTGCTGTTTGCTGATAGCAGTTAACAAACAACTCACAGCTGTGTTTATGTTAGCATCAGGAGGTATATATATTGCAGTTATCATAAGAACATTAAACTCTCAAGGCAGGTAAAAGGGGTGGCATTTCACTGCTAAATACTCCAAATCAGGAGAACAGTGAATATCCATTATTTTAACATCCATGCTGCAGTTATTGTTTGTGTAAACACAAACCCTTCCACCTCTGCTCTTCCCAGATTCAATAGTCCTGTCTGCTCGATGTACTCTGCGTCCTTGTAGTTCTATTATCTCCCCTGGGATGGAA